CTTTATATGCTGCTTTCTTCTGATCTGTTGCAGTTTCTGCAAGCGGTGATAATCCCTCCTTCGCAAGATCCCAAAGATCTTGGTAACAGAAAACCACCTTAATCTGCTTGCACCAATTCTCATGATTGTCTTTCTTGAGAATTGGAAGATTTGCTAGAAAGTGATCGTTTGGGTGATTCATCGCCATCATAGTTGTTCTTCCCTTGAATCAAAGCTGGAGCTCTAGATGTCAGATGTTGGAATTCAACCACGATCTATGGTGAATTCTTCTTAATCTTGATCCCAAGATTGTTATGTAATGACAATGAACAAAAACACAAGAGCACATTTAAAGAGGATGAGTATGAACTGGAGAGTAACTCTCTACCCACAATTGTGGAATTTTATTATCACTTTACAACTGAAAAACCGTAATTATCAAACTTGATTTTTTATGATGATAAGGGTTCCTTGCTATTTATAGATTTAGCTTAACTTGCATTTCAAGCTAAACCTCAAATTATAAAAGTTCAAAAATATCAAATCTAATCTTTCTAAATCAAATATAATCTTTCTAAATCAATTAATTATATATTTAACAATAAAGCGATTTTGATGAATGTGTCTATCTAAGTTGTTTAATGTGTTTCTTTTTGAGTTTTTTCTAGGTTTGAAAATTTTGAATTTTATAAGTTTGATGAAAAAGATATTCAAAACCTATAACACAGTGAGTGATGTTTTAGTCATTAAATCGGCCAGGTCAACATTATTAGTAACATTTAGATTGAAATAACTAACTTGATATGTTTTGAGAAGTATAAAAGCCCAAATTATGATTTTTAAGTTATGAGAATAAAACAAATTCTGAATACAACATATTAAACCTTTATATTATCATTATTAAATTATATTATAAAAATCAAATTTTTATTTTGAATATATGATATGACATAATTGATTTAGCTGTCGTCACGTATTAAATAAAATTGCTGACTAATCAAACTGAAATGAAATTAAAAAAAAAAAAAAAAAAAAAACCAAAAGACGGAATTTTTAAATGAATGACAAACATTACAATTTTAAAAGAAATAAAAACCATAATTATAGAAGGGTTAATTGTTCTTAAACGGCAAGTTGTGTTTGGACAATGGCTTTTCTGGATCCAAATTGACACGACACTATTAATAATTGAATCTTTCTTTATAAATCTTTAAGCATGTAACATCCATATTGACCACATCTTGTTGTAGATACACACATCATCAAAGCATAAGCATTTATAAAGTATTTCCATTCTTCCATTTAACATTTGCAACATAATAGTAGCTAAGAAAATGGAATAATTCAATTCAAACACTATTTGCCCAATGGGATGCGACCAAATAGAGTGAAGAAATAAGTCACGGCACCTTCATTCGTGAAGTGTAATGCAAAACTTTAAAATTGTGGTATAGGTTTCATGTCAATATTTTAAATTTATTTTATAGAAATTGATTTGTTTGGAGAAATAAAAACCTTCTTTTAAAATATTTTCAACATGACATTATATATTTTGTTTATAATAGATATGACATCATTTTCTTAAGAGATTAAAGATAATGTATTGTTAGTGTAAATTAATTTTACATCATCATTTAATATAATTATAACATTCTCTCTCGCGTGCGTGTGTTCCATTATAGAATTAGAAATGGAGGAGATTGCAGAAGTTAGAGTGAGACAGAGCTTTGTGAGTACTTTTGCGATACAACATCGTGGATTGAAGGTTGCAGTCATAATCCTTTTTGGATCGGGAATGTAGATCTTGAATCAGTGTTTGTTATCTTCGATACGGCGGACCTAGGGTGTACCTGCATGGTTATCCCTTCAATGCCCAAGTCAGTTAGGGTTCAAGATAATCATAATGGAAGTGAAGATTAAAAATTGTGTACTTCAAACCATGTGGCCCTCCCTTTCTCCATCGGTCATACATCCGTCTAGGCGCCTCATCACTTGGGTTACCCCATGTCCAGGACTACCCCTCATATCGCAACTCCCTAATCATTCTGCACCCTTAGAGCATTGTTAATTATCCGGGAGAGGGGTCTTGTCATTACGGTGATGACACGTCTGACGTGGGGGTTTTTATGATGTTGAGACACTTGGCGTTTGTCAGTCATGACAACACTTCTTCCACCGCAAATCTTGGAAGGCATTTCTTCTGCTCTTTCATAGATTCGTGGTGAGCTCGGGCTTAGATTTAAAAAGATCCACCTGGAGGTTTATTTATCAAGGGCAAGTCCATAACGCCACTCAGTTGAGCACAAAGTGGGACTCGACCAATCCTGGTTTTGTGAATCTGAATTTGGATCTGAGAGGGTCCACTGATCGACTTTCACAAGCGTTTGAGGTCGATATCTCCAATTGATCAAAATTCCTCATAATTGAATCTCGACCCAGAGTGTTTGCTGGAGTTATCTTATGGAGAATCAAAATCAATGTAAATGCTCAATTGGAGTTGGATCGAGGCTTGGTAGATCTGAATGGTGCAAATATGAGATTTCAATTTCTTGAAAATTCGATTACTTCATCTAAGATGGTTTCAGAGTTCAGACATGAGAATCGAACATGGAATTGTGAAAATTGCGAGAATCTAAATTCGATTCCTACAGACGGTGCCACTGTTCTATTGCAAAACTAGAAATTAAGGATATTGTTGAAGCTATAGTGAGATGGAGCTTCGTAAGTGATTACCATGATCTCTTAATGTTAATTGGTAATCGGGTTTGATTGTCCTATCCTAGGTCATAATTCCCTCAATTAGTCATAAATGTGTTATCGATATTCCCTCCGTATTAGTTTTGGGTTGGCATGATCGACCTGGCTCATCACTTGCCACATTCCAACTATGGTCTTATAGAAGAATTAACCCAACCCATTCTCGATGAACTAGTTCAATAGATCGAACATGTACATAATCCCTCAAGCATGAGTTGTGAATGGGTGAAATGCTTTCCTGAGATATACTGATAGACTTGACATGTACGCAACCTCTTAAGTATGAGTTGCGTATGGGCGAAATACTTTTCTTGAGATCATTTATCCATTATCCGACGTGCCTTAACAAGCAATCATTCTTGGGCGAGCTTGCACTCATTTTTTCGGGCGTGGATGCTTTTGATCGTGATTGGTTAATGTTAGTTACATGACTATTCCATTTACACGTGTTTTGATAATTGACAAATGATTTAGGAATAAAACTAAATCATGACATATACATACTTCATGCATCCATGGGAGGATATCAATAAATGTTGTGGTTCTTTTTCCTACTACTCACTCCTTTAAGTGGGCTTCACAGTTTTTCATTTCCCTCACCTCTTCATTTCATCTATTATTTTTGCACCAAGTATCTCTTGTGTTTTTCTCCCTTATCAGTCTTGCATCTCCAACAACCACTCACAATATTGGGTAACCTTCTATTTCCTTTGTGTTTTTCATATCCTCCTTATTAGTGTTTATTCGAGAATGTGTTTCATCTATGAGAGGTCATAGAACACTGAAATGATGCTGAGAGGTGAGAGTTGTGGACTCAATACTTGAAAAGATAGAAACAGGGTACAATGAAAGTGAATTAAAAGTTGGTAGATATGAAGTTTTTTAGTAGTTACGGGAGTTCTCCTATTGGTAATTTGGGAATGGATCTCCTAGTGATAGTGACATTGAATTAGTGTCTTCTTTCTGAGGTCCGGCTAGGTCCGCCATAACGCTATCAACCTCTACTTTTGCGTTCATTTGCACCTCTGACTCTCTTTTCAGCATTTCTCTTTTCTCCTTTGTCACATTTCCCTTTGCCATTATTTCTTACATTGAAGCCTTACTTTCATCCCATTCTAAAATTTCCTTATGAATATCTCTTGGTTAGGATTAATTATCCGGATTGTCTTCTTGTTGAAGTGTGCAAGATATTTCCGCAATGATTCAGAGTGTCCCCGGTGTATGTTGAACAAGCTCGTGGTTGATACCTTACGGTGCTTGCTTGTCGAGAATTGGTGGATTAACTTTCTAGAAAAGTTGCGGTAACTAGTAAGTGAGAACTTTAAGTGTTTCATGTATCAACGTAAGTCCGCCTACTTTAGTGTGTCTAATTGGCGAGCACATACCGATTATAGTAGATGTCGTCCTCCACCTTTCATACTTTCTACGTGATTATTATCTTGTATATTCGTACTTCCTACGTGGTTATTATCTTGTATATCAAATTTCCTCGACCCAATATGAATGTGAGACATCATACTTAAAATCATACATGATTCATTAAACAATTAGTGTGTCTGACTGATTTATATACAAGTTAGATACAATAATTCTTCAATAAATAAATAAATAATTTTATTTTAAAAGTGACTAGTATTTAATTAATATACATTAATAAAAAAATTGTTTTGCTACCTTTAATGTATATAGGCTGCATAATCATTAACATCACGTCTAGATTCAAATTTATATTCTATGCAATTAACTTTTTGCAATTTTTCTCATAGAGGTGCATGGATATACATTACAATTAATTTATATATACAAATAGAAAGCTATTAACATACATACATATATAGATTATTTTTTTCTTTTTTTTATTAATAAATAATGTACATATATAGAGTATCAGGTGAGCTGACAGGTTATGATTGATTTTTCCAACTCTGTTATATATTTCCTTTTTAGGCTATTGGTTGATTATGAATTGTAACTGATTATGTTAGATTTCTTCTTCATCAATAAAGCTTTTCTGTTATTCTCTGCGTTCTACATCTTTCTGTTGCAACTGTTTCACCATTATTAACATGGTATCAGAGCCGTTTGAACTATTGTCCAAAAAAAGAAAAACGTATGAATTAAAATTTTCCAATTTAGATTTTAATAAAACAAGAAATTAATATCCATTAGTACTTTATGAATTTAGCAAAAATCTAAGTGTATATATATAACACAAAATTTGAGAGGTTTTTATAGAAAACACACTCATTAACTACAACAAAAAGATGTTTTCAATTTTGTCACAAAAATCACTTTTATGGTCTTTGCTTGTGTGCCACTTTGCTATTTCATGCAAAGCAAACCAACAAAGTGAATACCTCCATAAGCTTATTCAATCAAAGAGGTTTCAACAAAAGGATGTTTCTTCACATGAAGAAGCTTATTATTTAAGTGATTTTGGCGATGAATATGTTTCATATGAACATGATGTTGAACAACAATTAAAGTTGAAAGAAGCTGATAAAGTGAAGGCTTTGCCTGGTCAACCAAAAGGGGTGGATTTTGATCAATATGCAGGTTATATAAGTGTGGATACAAAAGAAAATAGAAAACTTTTCTATTACTTTGTGGAATCATCTTTAAATTCTTCAACAAAACCTCTTGTTCTATGGCTTAATGGAGGTAAATCCATATATATATATATATATATATATATATATATATATATATATATATATATATATATATATATATATATATATATATATATATATATATATATATATATATATATATATATATATATATATATATATATATATATATATATATATATATATATATATATATATATATATTGTTTTAATTATAACTGCTCGTAAAATCACATGCAAGTGCAATCAGACATAAATTTCAAAATTTTAAGAGCTTTAGAATTTACATGATCTTTAATATAAGTAAAGAGTCAAATGTATTCGATTTATAATTGAATTAATCAGATTAAATATATTTAACTTTTAGTTATATTTTATATTATGCATATGAAAGATATTGTTGAATAGTAACACACAAAAATATCAATGTTTAGTTTTGTTTTCTTCTAATTTTGTATGCATAATCAATTTTCAAAATAATCAATTACTTGTTACTATATGATAAGATAATTAATTGATTTCAAATCAATCGTTGCACGCCAACATTGGCAGTATACGCTAGTGGAATTTCAAGACGAAAGCTAAGCCATGATTTATTGATTTATGTCTCCCACCAAATTTGATTATAGCTACAAGTTATATTTCATTACTCAATTTGCATGCATTGGAATATTTTTATTTGTATTTTTGCCTCAATTACTCTTTCTCTTACAACAACATCAACACAAACATTCCTTTCAAACATGTAACTCCAAAAGAAATAGAGCCCACAAATACAAAATTATGATTAGATTCAATAAGACCATCTGAGATTTTTGAATACTTTGTATAAATTAGTCATAGTTTAATCGTGATCGAATAAATAAATATTTTATTTAATCGCAGTTTAATTGGAATAAATATTTTATGAGATATGTTTAGCTATATTTTAATTGATTACATACAGGACCTGGATGTTCTTCATTTGGGTATGGAGCCATGCAAGAATTAGGACCTTTTAGAGTAAACAATGATGCAAAAACACTTTCCCTTAATAAACATGCATGGAACAAAGGTATAATATCCATAATTATCATTCGATTAAAGGTTAAATATATTTTTAGTCGTTACTCGTTAATAAAAAATTATTGTTTCGATACTTTGCAGTGGCAAATGTTCTATTCTTAGAGTCTCCGGCTGGAGTTGGATTTTCTTACTCGAATAATACATCAGATTATACTGTTGGTGACAGAAAAACATCCATAGATTCATACGTTTTTCTTCGAAATTGGCTCGAGAGATTTCCAGAGTATAAAACGCGTGATTTTTTCATAACTGGTGAAAGTTATGCAGGCCATTATATCCCTCAGCTGGCTGATCTAATTCTCTCGAAAAATAAGAAAAATAAAAATCACAAACCGATCAATTTGAAGGGAGTCGCGGTAAGAAAATTCTATAGAGATTGTTCTATTTAAATTGAATCGGTTAGGTTCGAGTAAATCACATTTCATAAATATTCATGGCGCAGGTTGGGAACGGTTGGATAGATGACAATTTGTGTTTGAAGGGAATGTATGATTTTTATTGGACTCATGCTCTCAACTCGGATGAAACTCATAAAGGAATGGAAAAACATTGTCACTTTAAGAGCTTCAACGAATCAAATGAATGCTTTGGATATCAAAGCAAAGCTAATGATGAGGTTGGAACTATTGACAATTACAACATATATGCTCCAGTTTGTAATTCATCTGCAACAGAAACTAGTTACTCTGTAAGTTGCATATAGTACCTAACTATTTAGCATTTGTTTGTGTTAATTATACATAATGATAATGACAATGATTCTTCAATGAAATATTACAGGAAAATAATTTTGATCCTTGTTCTGATGATTATACCACTGCTTACTTAAATCAACCTAAAGTTCAAGAGGCTCTTCATGTTAAAGCCACAAAATGGTCACCTTGCAGGTACACTGGATTGTCTTGTGCCTGACATATATTAGTGTCTGATGTTGACATGATTGCTTTTAATTTCTTTTCCAGTAATGTGCTAAATTGGACCGATAGTCCAGCAAGTATTCTACCAACTATTAATAGGTTAAGATCGAGTGAAATAAGCATTTGGATTTACAGGTATAAAATGCTCTTTTATATAAAAGGTTATGAATACTTTATGTTTAACTAACATTAACATTTGCTTAATGAAATCGCAGTGGTGATACAGATGGTCGTGTTCCCATAACCTCAACAAGGTTTTCGATAAATTCTTTAAACCTACCAATACATACAGAATGGCGCCCATGGTACAATGAAAAAGAGGTAAAAAACTATAAAACTATTATATATATGAAGCACCGAGACAAAGACGTTGACAGAGATGAATAATCATATGTCTCGAACACTAAAATGTGTTGGATTCAAGATACTAACAATTAAATCTACTTATACTACGATATGCAGGTTGGAGGATATTTGATTGGTTATGAAGGACTTACAGTTATAACCGTTAGAGGAGCTGGACACATGGCTCCAAGTTACCAACCACAAAGGACACTCACTCTCATCTCATCTTTCCTTCAAGGAAAACTTCCTCCTTAATCATTCTCTTAAGTCTATTCCTTGTATCCACAAAATTTACGTGGAATTTATATTTGATATAAAACAATGTTAAATCCCTTTTCGATTTTATTTTCAAATTGAAAATTATATCAAACTTCAAAAAAAGAATAAAACTTTACACCAAAGAAGAGATGAGATTTAAATATAAAAAGCTCTAGGAAACAAAATCACCAAGGAAGCATATGTGAAAAGAACATGTCACATTATTATTGGGTCACCCCAGTAGGATACCACAATAGGGTGGTGTACTGATACCCTTTCAAAGTAATACGTACCTAAAAACTTACTTAAAATTAAACCTGATTGATAGTGAAAAGTTATATATACTTTAACTTTCCATTAGAATACCATATTCTCACCAAAAACATGTATAACGCTCTTCTTGTTCAATCCTTTAATCGGAACGACGAGAGAGTGACTAAGCCGAAAAGGCCAATAGCATTTTCTCTAGCAAGGGTATTCAACACTATATGAGAATGGGAGAAAGCCTCAGCTTTTTTGTTTGTTTACACCTACCTTCCTTTTGAACTCAGCTTTCACGTCTTTAATCCTCGATTGAGCTAGTCACTGGCGAACGCTTCCAAAAGAGACCTACCTCTACTCTAAACAAGAGCCGAGCCTTCGAGTATCAGACTAGCTTAAAAACGTAGTATGTAAGGATATAGTTCCTTAGCTTAAAAACGTAGTATGTAAGGATATAGTTCCTTTCCTCAAAACCAATCATCCGAGTGGGTATCAGATTGAAACATGTATAACGATTTCTACAAACTTGATCCGAACATCAAAATTGTTGCATTCTCAGTATGACATTCTCAAAGATGTAATTTCAATCTTAAAAACAAACACGCCCTTATAGGATTCAACTGATGCAGTCATTAAAAAGAAAACACTTGTCAACGGTGGGGATCAAACGATTTCAATCAAGCACACACGCTGTCATTCTTAAGATAATTATTGCCATAATTAAGTTCCAAATTCCTCAACAACCATTACTCCTACAAGTCTAAAATAACGATTAACTGAATCCCTACAGTTCTACCTCATGTAATCAAAATTCAACTCCACTCCACAATTAGGAGGGATTACTCAAGTTCCCAGACAGATAAAAACAAGTTACATATGAGTGTCAATAGTTTGCTCCTTCAAGAGTGATTGTTCTGTAACTTGTTGTGAGTGCTACTCCTGCAAATCAGCTTACTTGTTGTTGGTGACCTCCATAAATAGGGTAACCCCCATAAGGAAGAGGATACGCGCTGGGATCATGATGAGGAGAAGGCATATATCCGTATCCATCATAAATAGGGGGTGGAAAATATGGCACGGGCCAGCTTCCGAAGTCAAACCTAAACTGTTACCATCATTGAGATAAAATCAGCACAAATTCAATTTTATGACAGACATTCTGCAAACAATCTATTACTCTAGCATTTAAAAAGAAGTTTATGAGGAAATGAGATGAAAGGGAGGGAGAGAAAGATTGCCTGTTTGTTTGCAGGATTGCGGCCCCAAGAGAGACGAACGGTTTGCTTGCCAATCATTGTCCCATTAAGCTTCTGCAAAGCCTCTTCAGCATTATTTCTGAAAAGGTTGTTTAAATATTATGATTGTGGTGATTACATTAATGAAGAGATTAAAAAGCATAACAATGAAAAGATTTGAGATAGTTAAAAACTTTTTACCTGTTTGCAAATTGAACAAAACCACAGCCCTTTCCAACAGGTATCTTAACAGAGGTTATCTCACCATACTCAGAGAATGTCTGCCTAAGATCTTCATCTGTAACATTAGGGTCGAGTCCTCCAACAAATATCTATAATCAATCATCGATTAGGTGTAGAAAATTAGTAATAAATCATAAGTTGCTAAGATGAAAAACCACATAATATAAGAGCGATAAGTTGCTAAAATGAAAAGCCTAATAATATAAGAACGATAAGTTGCTAAAATGAAAAACCTAATAATATAAGAGCGATAAGTTGCTAAAATGAAAAACCTAATAATATAAGAGCGGTAAGTTGCTAAAATGAAAAACCTAATAATATAAGAGCAGAAAACTCACAGTTGTGTTGGTAGAATCAGTCTCAGATTGGCTGGATGTGCCATTTGACTGGCCTCCTAAATAAAGAAACAGACAACAATTTATCGTGTATATTATATCATTTCATTATAAAACTTGAGAAATAGATATTCACAATTCAAAACAGAATTTGATAACCTTGGACAAAATAAACACACAGCTGGAAAAGATATTTCAAACTCTTCCATTACCAATGCAATCAAAATATAAATTAAAAAATGAGACATGTTTTGTCAAAAACAATTTAAAGGGATCCAAACCCAAGACAAGTTGGGAAATAAGTGCCTGAGTGAATTCAAGAATTTCCATGAGATAGCTACTTTCCTAATCAGCTATAAAATAGCACCAACGGACCAAATGGACATGCAATCAAAATATAAATTAAAAAATGAGACATGTTTTGTCAAAAACAATTTGAAGGGATCTAAACCCAAGATAAGTTGGGAAATAAGTGCTTGAGTGAATTTGAACTCAAGAATTTCCATGAGATAGCTACTTGCCTAATCAGCTAGAAGAAAAACATCACACAGCACACAGGACCAAATGGACATTTGAGCATGCATTAAATACTTAATAGCAATTAATAAACTAGGTTTATCATCTATCTTCACTCCTATTTAGTGAAACTATTCAATGTTCATTTGCATTCAGTAAATGACATGACATAATTTTTCATGTGAAAAAGATATGATAATTGTCATTTCAAAGATTATTCATTTAGAAAGACGTGACAATATCCCTTCTAAAATGAAATCAAAAGCTAAACCATATGACTATAATTACTGTTAATACTAGCAAGAAATGCAGTTCAGATCATAGTTCTTCTGTAACAACCTGCAGCAGAACAAATCAATGAGGTAAAATAGGTGGCTAGGAACATCTTTGGATGGAATGTATAATGCAATAATGCTCTGTTCTTTTTCTTTCCCAAATGAAAAGAATAAAATATCATATATCAGAAACAAGTAATGTGATTTGGCAAACCTTGTTGATAGCCAGATGACTTCCTTGGAGTTGCAGCACCAATACGCATGGGCCTGTTAGAACAGTAAACCCCATTCATTTGAGTCATAGCTTGAGATCTCTCGCTTTCATCTCCAAACCTGACGAAGCCGTAGCCCTTTGAACGGCCGGTATTGGCATCATAAACAACTTTTGCAGCTTTAACAGAAGGATATGAACTAGCAAAAATTTCATGCAACGCATTATCTGAAACATCAGCAGCTAAATCTCCTACAAAAATAGAAAGATCAGTGACATTATCTGAACCCTTATCCCCGGTGCTAAATGTAGCCCAGTTCAGACGGAAAGGTTGATCTGCATTTGGCATCAAGATTCCAGCATAACTCTGTAAGACTTTCTCAGCTGTGGCATGTGAAAAAAATTCCACAAACCCATATCCCTCTGAAATACCACTATGCTTATTGCGAATAACCTTGATGGAGGTAATCTGCAAGATAAAAATTAAATAACAGTTAAAAGATTAATAGAATTATATATCTGAAATAATACAAAAAATACAGGTAAAAGCAACATCTTCTATCATAACAAATTAAGTTGTCAAAAATACAAGTTTATTTTGGACAAATTAGAGTATAAGAGAATCAGAACTACTCTGAAACAATCTGATCTGTTAAAAGATTCAGAAATGCACACACAAACACATAATGCTGAAAGTTCCCATCAATTTTCTTTTGAGATGCATCAAATGGTGCATGTCGAACGTTAATATCATTATGCAACATTTCAATTCATAGAATTAAAAGCCAGATAATAAACCAAAGAAGGAAAATAAACTGTGTTAGGCTTTGGTGGTTTTCATATATTGTCAATTAGCTAATCAGACATTGAATGTCAAAAGTTACCATCATTACGCAACATTTCAATTCATAGAATTAAAAGTTAGATAATAAACCAACGAAGGAAATAAACTTTGGGTTAGGCTTTGGTTTTCATCTATTTCCATATAACTAATGAATAAGGAAGAAAATAAATTAAAATAAAATAAAAGAATGAATTTTATTTGTCACAACTCAAGATAGAGTAAAACTTAGTTGAGCCTAGCATACTTCGTTCTAGTATAACAATTTAAACACTGTTGGTAAAAAAAAAAACACAATACAAATTTGTTTTGGCTTGAAAAGTTAAAACTATTTTTAGCTTCATTCATCACAATTTAATGCATGTTTGGAAATCCGTCTGAAAGAAAAGACATTTGAATTAATGTATCTGCAATGGATCTCCAAACAAGCAAACACAATATTAATAGGATAGGTCAAAGGTGACATGAACAATTAACTTTCCATTCTTCAAATCTTCAATTCACAAATATTAATGACTTTATTTTGCACCTTAAACTGTGGTCCTTCAAATTTCATTCATTGGAAAGAATATTTTGTATATATATTCTACTAAAAACATGTTGACCGTCTAGATATAGAGTTCAGAAAATTTATTTTCACAGATAATTGTTCTTAACATATCTTAACTACTTGACATAGATTTTATGTAAAATACTGTACATAACATATATACAGAACATAATTTATATCAAATCTCAAAAGTTTGGATTTGTATAATTTTCCATCTATAAGGTGGTAGCAAGGTTTATGCAATCTCAATTTCATCAATTCTCAAAATCTGAGTTTTATAAATTATACCAAAACTTTGATGTTACAAACTCCACATTTAATAGAAGAAACCGTTATTTTAAAACATTGGTGAGCATCAATTTTTTAATCAATCTTGTTAACCTTTTTCAAGAACACAAATTTAATTCAATTGTAACCGAAAGAAACTAATCTACAACATGGAAAATTCAAGCATGCAAACAATTAACACAATGCAACAAATATACACAAACGAAATCAATAACAAACTTCACAAAATAAACTATAAACTA